GGACAGTGACGGCTGCTAATACGGTTGCTGTGTGAGGGTTCAGTGCTGGTGGTGTAGTGAAGGTCGGGTGCTGAGAGAGGAGCCTGGCTTAAAAAGCCTGTGCTTGGGCTGCAGTCAGGTTCCTTGCACTTAACTGTGGCTCTGAAGTCATGCCCTGCTGTCAGGTCATAGATGTGTAAGAGCAGTAGCATTAAGATATTTGCAGAGCCGTTAAGTTTTTTGATGTCTCTAAATCTAGATGGTCACCAGGACAGAGGGTCAAATTGATGACTCTCTAATTGGTGGCAATGCCTCTGCTGAAGGTCCTGAGGGAGATGGAACAGAAGCCACAGTCATAACCGGTGTTGATATAGTAATAAACCACCATCTGCAAGAAACCAGCTTTACAAAAGAATCCTACAAGAAGTACATCAAGGATTACATGAAAGCGTAAGTGTCAGCAGGCTTTTTCTTTAAATCGGATGGCAAAAGTTTTAGGTTGCTGGGATTTTAGAAACAGGGTTAAACTTTATTCCTGTAGTAGGTGTTAGTTCTGATACAAGTGCCAAACTCTCTGTGAACTTGAGTAATGTCTTAATACTTGGCAAAACTGGAGCTCTAAAGAATTGATAGTGGAATATCTGAGTTTATCTTGGCTGCTGTACAGGACCTGGTCATGTGCTTTGGATGTTATTTGTAACCTTACTGTTTTCTTTTGGATTCATCTATACCAGATGTTCATGTGGAAGGGGGTGAGGTGGTGAAGAAAAGCTTCCTGAAGCTTTTCTAACTTGGCAGTTTAAATTGCCATAAATAATGTGTGAATGGAACTTTCGCTAATTCAAGGTGTAAATTCTGTTGCTTGTGGTTCAGTGGGTTAGTACTAAAGGAGAAAAGGCTTTGTGATACTGAGAGTACTGTTTGTGCTGTGAAAATGGCTTGCTAATTTTTTGTCTACCGCTAGCTTAGAAGTAAAATGAGCTTGATACAAGTGTCAGGCACTGTTCTGTTAATTGACTAGCAAAACTAAGTTTGGGGGCTTTAAGAGGGGGAAAAGCAGCAAAATCAAACAGTTTGACTGCTAATAATGCTTTCTGCTATGATGTGATGCTGCTCAGTGGAGTTACTAAGGTAGAACATGTTTTCAGATCTTGTTGTTTTTCCTTCCAGAATCAAAGCCAGACTTGAGGAACACAAGCCAGAGAGAGTAAAGCCTTTCATGACAGGGGCAGCAGAACAAATCAAACATATCCTTGCGAACTTCAAAAACTACCAGGTAATGAAACTTATGTCTCCCTATGGTAGTGTGGCAGTGATAGAAGCTGTGATTGGCTCATTGGCTGAACTAGCTTGTTGAGAGCTTTGAGGGCTCCTATTATCAGGACATTAACTTGCCCTTCTCTGAGGGTATTAGGGACTCAGAGTCAGGGAAGAGAAATGGCATAGAAATTTAGGTGTTTGGGTGATCTTGTTTCAGCTTGCAGTGCTTGTAGGTAACTACACTTGTAGTTAGCATCATTTAGGAACTGTGGTGTTTAAGACTTGAAAGATGGATCACTTTGGTACCTGCTGTGTCTTAACTCTGCTGTTCATAGCAGTGTGATAAAACTATAGAATTGTAGAATGGTTTGGGTTGGAAGAAGCCTTAAAGATCATCTAGTTCGAACCCTCTGCCATGGGTAGGGACGTTTTCCACTAGACCAGGTTGCTTCAAGCCCTATTCAACCTGGCCTTGAACACTGCCAAGGATGGGCCCGCCACAGGTGTGATAAAACTATAGAATTGTAGAATGGTTTGGGTTGGAAGAAGCCTTAAAGATCATCTAGTTCGAACCCTCTGCCATGGGTAGGGACGTTTTCCACTAGACCAGGTTGCTCCAAGCCCTGTTCAACCTGGCCTTGAACACTGCCAAGGATGGGGCAGCCACAGCTTCTCTGGGCAACCTGTGCCAGGGCCTCACCATGATCATAGTGAAGAATTTCTTTCTAATATCTGATTAACTCCACCCTTCTCCAGTGTAAAGCCATTCTCTGTTGTCCTATCATGACATGTCCTTGTGAAAGGTCCCTTTCCACCTTTCTTGTAGTCCCTCTTTAGGTACTGGAAGCTGCTCTAAGGTCTCCCTGGAGCTTTCTCCAGGCTGAGCAAGCCCAACTCTCTCAGCCTGTCCTCATAAGGAGAGGTGCTCCATCCCTCTGATTGTTTTTGTGGCCCTCTTCTGGATGGTAGGTTGGGCCTCATCAGAGGAGACTCGAGGGGGAGAATCACCTGCCTTGGCCTGCTGGTCACATTCCTTTTGATGCAGCCCAGCATACCACTGGCTTTCTGGGCTTCAAGTGCATGATGCCTGGTCACGTGCTTATCAACCAACACCCTCAAATCCTCAGGGCTGCTTTTGATCACTTCATCCCCCAGCCTGTATTGAATACTGGGGGTTGGCCCAGCCCAAGTGCAGGACCTTGCACTTGGACTTGTTGAACTTCCTGAGGTTCTCACTGGCCCACCTCTCAAGCCTGTCAAGGTACTTCTGAATGGCATCCCTTCCCTCTGGCGTGCTGAAAACTGAGGTAGTTAGGTGGCACTAAAATGGATAAGCTGCAGAAAGCAAAATCCCTGCAGCTCGTGAGGGGGAGTTTTAAATTGAAGTTAGAGATGTTACAGTTTTCTTGTGTAAAAAGGCACTTTCTCCTGGTAATAGCTCATTAAATGTCTCAGTAACGCATTTCTCTGAAGTTCTTTGTAGGAGAGAACATGAATCCAGATGGTATGGTGGCTCTCCTGGATTTCCGTGAGGACGGTGTGACCCCGTATATGATTTTCTTTAAGGATGGCTTAGAAATCGAGAAATGTGTAAGTCCTGGGTGAATGTGCCCAACTACATGATTACTTCTTCCAGTGCACCACTTGTTTCCTTGTTAAAGTTGAAGAGTAGCTGCCAGCCTAAAAACTTTAAAGGTTGAAGTCAGTACAGCCTGATGGGTGCTTCTTGTTAAACACAGTGCCTGAGACTTCCCTTGTGTGCCATTCAATCATACTGAACGGGAGGTAGTTTCACTGCAGTGATTCATGGTGACCTCATGGCCAAGAAATGCGGAAAGAATTACCTTTCTGAGACGTGTGTAACTACTTGATTAAAGACAATGTTCTCTGAAATGGAACACTTCTACTTTGGATCCCTCTTCTGGGGGTTAATTGTGAAGTATCTTACTTGGTCTTGTTCCCTCTTCCACTTATTCCGATGCCCTTTTTTGTTACGCAAGAACTGTCTGTTTGTAAATTGCCCTAAATTTGGGAACACGGTAATAATCAAGTATTTCACCTTACACTGTCTGGAATCTCCAGCTGTCTGAGCTCAGACATCTCCTGTTTGCTTTATCTTTTAACTACACTATGTTGGAATGTGGTTGCAACAAAACAGTCTTTGGATCCTAACACTTGCGTTTTTAGGCTTATTTGGAGAGCAGTGGGATTTGCTGTAGGCTGGCAGTGTGGGGTCGACAATTGCTTTGCCCAATCATTGTGGCCTCATGAAGTCTGTTTATAGCCAGCTAAATTTATCTGTAAAGCCTCTTAGAGGCTTTCTGGTATGCAAGTCATGTAAAGATGAACCAACTTGTAGTGTGGAGCAGGAGCGCAACTGCAGGAATACAGACACACCACCTCCTGCAGCCTGCCTGAGGAGGGGTGATGCCTGCCCTGCACCCTGGAACAGGCCCAGGTCACCTGGAAGGTGCCTCCTCAAAGCAGAAGCTTGTGTTCATCTCCCTTACTTGGGCAGACCTTTTGAATGTGTAATTCTGGTACCTCCATCTGCTTCAGGATGGACTAAAAGAATAGTTTTCTAGAGGGAAAAGTAACCCATTACAGCTTCTTGGTACAGCTTCCGTGAGAGGCAGTACGTACACTGTAAGCTTTATTACTTGCTTAGGATATGCTCTTAATTGAGGGGAAACCTGAAACTTAGTGTATCAAGCAAAAAGGGTATGAATGAGTATCCAGTCTGGCTTGCTCAGCAGCTGGTGCCAGTTGGTGTGTATGATGATAAGAATGATCAGCATCCTCTGATAGACCACGAGCACTTTTTCTGTTGCTCTCTGGTTTGCACTAAGATGCAAAAATAACTTCCTTGCGCTTTCTGCCTGCCAGCCTGTGGCAGCTCAGATTGAATTAGGGAATACACAAGCAAGTTACAGAAACTTACTGTGACTGTCATGACCTTGAACTAACATTTGCTACTCTTGTTTCAGTAACAAATCAAACATTATGGTTTTGGATCACCTGTCTTCATAGCTGGCTGCTGTTTCTTCTTCATCGGCACAACACCAGGAATCGGCAATGTCTAACTGGACTGATGTCATCTTGAGCTTTATTCACTTACTTTGACCCTGATTTGGAGTGGAGGCATTGTTTTAAAAAAGAAAAAAAAAAACCATCTGTCATGTAGATTGTCAAAATAAAACTCATTTAAATCCATTCTAGGTGATGGCTGTTGGTCTAATGTGTTTCGTAGGGTGACTTGCAGGAGAGGTTGCAGCAAGGCGTTTGTCCCAGGATTCGGTACTGTCAGTAGTATAGCCTGGTCCTAGCATGTTACAGCTTGGCTATAGGCTTTATGCAGTTTCTACCTGTGAGATGGGAGTGCAAGGTCAATAAGGCAAAGCCCAAGAAATGTCATCGTGATGGAGTGGACCACCTTCATCTTTCGTGATTTCTGGAAGAGATACCAAATTAATAACAAAACCCCAGAATGGAATATGTGCTATTTGAGCTCAAGTGCTGCTGAGCTGCTGTGTCAGACAACGATACTTGAGTCTGTCCTCAGTTGTAGTATGACTTGAAGATCAAGATAGGAGGATGGATGGAGCAGAGTCTTACACCAGCACTCCCTCTGAGCACAGGTACTGGGAACATTGTGGGGAGAGGGTTTTCCAACAGTCTGGCTGTGGTACTGGCTCCTGTGTATCCAACAGCTGTTCAGGAGCAGATTAATGAGAGAGCTCCAAGTCACAGGATTTTTTTGGCATTCTGTATTTACTGGGAAAGGAAATATTAGAATGGCCTATGCCTGTTGTAGGTTTACACACAGCAGGTGTGTGTCTGGGCTTGAGTCTCAGCTGAGCATTGGTAACTTGCTGTTCCTGCTGTGTTCCCTGTTAGTAAGTGCATCTGTTTGACAGACCTGGAGCAAACGGCCATTGCTTCTCAGGTTCTTGCTGAGATGCAACAGTAACAGGTTCCTTGCGCTTTCTACCTGTCTGACCTCATGGCAGTCTGGATTGAATGAAGGGACACAAACACCTTTGCAGAGCCCCAGCTGGGGCCCCGGGGGTTATGTTGCTCCTGACGACACTGTGTGTGCCCCTGGCTGGGGATGTTTCCTCAGGCTGCAAATCACCCATGTTTTTCTGCTGTGGTGGAGGCAGAGGTACAGGAGGCTAAGGTGCCAAAAGGGGAGGGCATGACCTGGTTGCCACCTGCTCATCTGTGAGGCCTCAGGCCTTCACTGCAGAGTTCTGGCATCATTGCTGCCTTGTGTCGGGTTTGGCTGGAGGTAGGTTTCTGCAGGGGGTGAGATAGATGCAGCAGCAGGCTGGGAGGAGTGAGATACTGCCTGTGGAGGAGGGAGGGGAGCATGGCCTAGTTATCTCAGCAGTTCCTGTCTGGTTTACACACTCCCTGTTTTAGTTGTGTGGGAACTTCATTTACATATCTTTCACTTTCCCAAGAAGGGGGCTTGGACCAGCTGCACTTCTGGCTGAGGTACAGTAATGGTGTCATCTGCACAGTGTAAAATGGTGCTCCTCTGCCTTCACCCAGTGGGGCTGAAAGGCAGGTTCGCTGCCTAAATAAAATCACTGAGCCAACTCCTGCTTTCCTTGCAGAGGGTTTGTTTAGTGGGGCCAGGTCAGGGTGTCTTCTTACCCTTTATTAAAAGCTGTGAGCCTTAAAGGAAGGGAAGAGTAAGCACTCACTTAGTTTGAGACCTCTGCTTCTCAGTGGAGTAAGGTTAGTGTGGGCAGGGCAGTGCTTGTATGGCCATGCAGCCCGTAATACCCTGGCTCCCACTTCCAGCGAGTTAAAATGTTCAAAACTGAGTGGTGATGGTAAGTGGGAGCAGAAAGGGCTCTTACCCCTGCTTGACTGGCGATGCTGGGATCCCCAGGGAGCAAGCCTGGAGCAAATAGCTGTGTGACAGCTGTGTATGAATGAGGAGGTGCTGCTTTGAAAAGCAGGTGGTTTAAAAGCATGCTGAGCACAGCCTTGCTGTTGGGTCGAAAGACCTAGGGCGAACTGTGAGCCATCCTCACCACCCCCGGCTGATTGGGATGTTGAACTGGTGTGTACAAACATACCCAGCCAGTGGGTCACCTCTCAGCCTCATGCTTTTCTGCAGGGTGCAGGCTCGGATGGGAAGTCTCCCTTCTCTCCTGTTGTAATAAAGTCAGTTCAGAGGCTCTTGAGATGCAGGAGGTGGTTCTGTTCATCCCTCCAGAGAGCTGCAGAAGTGGTTTTGCTGCTGGCTGCACTGTGCTTCCCAAAAATGCACTGCTGCCTTCAGTTGCACAGGTCTCACTGCTCTGGTGCCAAGCCTGCCCCGCAGCAGGGAGGAGAGGTTAAACCACCCTTGGTGGCAGGGAAGGACCATGGGGGTGACAAGCAGTGGTCTGGGATGTGCTGCTGTGGCAGCTGCCCACAGTGAAGGCAGAGTGAGGGGATGTTGGGATCTGGCTCCTTGTGGGAGCTGCTATGTGCTGTGAAGTGGGGGGCCCCCAGACTGTTGACAAGTAAATGCACTTGTCAACAGTCTGCGCTGCAGCTCTGAGGTGGAAGTGAAGTTGGTGTATTTCCTTGCAACCCAGTTCCCCTTCTTGTGTCTCTTCATTTCATGCAGCTGTTTTCTGGGGGCTGAAAAGCTAAAGCGATTGGAGAAGGCAAAGCTTCATCCTGCTGTAATGCTACAGCTTTGGAGTTACTAAATTGATAAAAATGCCCCATCATAAGAAATTACCCTGGTGCTGCTTTAACACAGCCTGAAGTGAAGGACTTCATCCCTGGCAATGTTCAAGGTCAGGTTGGACAGGGCCTTGAGAAACCTGAGAAACCATGGCAGGCAGGGTGGAACCAGTTGAGCTTTAAGGTCCTTTCCAACCCAAACCATTCTAGGATTCTGTGACAGCTTTACAACCAGGTGTGTGGCTGTCCTGGAGCCCTGTGCAGCCCTCAGCTTCGGGAGGGAGAACCTGCAGAGGGAAGATTTACATGAATAGGAGTAGTGGACAGAGTTGCTGGTGCTGGCTTAGAGCAGGTGAGGCACCTCCATTCCACCTCTGGCTGCGCTTCCTCAGGCTGCAGCTGCTGTGAACTGGGATGTTTTACTCTGCACCAGCCAGCAAGTACATCTCCATGTTGCTGCTGGCCTGCAGCAGAACAGCATTTAAACACAGTGTTCATTTAGCTTGGAGATAAATGTCTTGGTAGGAGTTAAAAACCCCAGCCAAGCCTGGAAGTCTGCCATAAACCACCCAAAAGGCATTGCCAGGAGCACTTGTGCTGGTTTGTGGTCCCTGCACCTTGACTGCCTTTTGGTTGTAGCTGCAGCTGGGAGCTGTTGAGCACAGATCACTGCCAAGTGGCTGTGGCTGGGGGCCAGCAAATGCTGGTGACCCTGGAAGTGTCTTATGCAGGAGTTCCAGGATGCTGAGGATGTGCATAGCTGCTGCATGTTTCAAGCCATTAGAGCTGCATTCATCACCTTCTACTTGAGGCAGAAAGGAAAAGCACCCCAGGAGGCCTTTTTGAGTCTATTTTCATGTGTTATACCAACCTCACGCATGAGGCAGCGGCTGAATGTGGTGAGAAAAATGTTGAGCAATAGTTTCTCTGCAGCCTCCTGTTATCCAGGGAGCCAACAGCCAGGATTCACCTCCTGGTCTGCCACCAGCAGCAGCAGGAGGAAGCAGAGCTGGTGTTTCAGAGAGCAGCCCCTTTCCTCCCATGCTCGGCAAGGTGTGTGCATGCCAGCAGCCCTGCCAAAGCAATGCAGCTGCTGGGTTTTTATAGGGAATGTCCAAAAAATCACATGTACAGAAAGGATTTAAGGATTAACTTCCAAAATTCTTTGTAACAGAGGAGTTGAGAAAAGGCCTGGATGTAAAGCTGGATGTTCCCTCCCTGGTCACTGTGGATGCTCAGCAGGCAAACCCTGCTGTTGGTACTGGAATAGGCTGGTTCAGGGGCTGAGGTTCATCTCTACTTCTCAGCAGTGTCTGCACCTGAGCTGGGCACCCTCGGCCCCTCCAGCTGAATCAGGGTGGGATGATTTGTTGCCTCCTGCAGCCATATGGTCAAGCTGCCCACAAAAAGGCATTTTAAGGGGGTTAGTGCAGCCCTTCACCCATCAGCTTGGGCTGCCCTGGCCCAGCAGTCATCTGGCAGCACATGGTGTCCAGTTCATCTGTTGTGATGGGGCTTAGGCTGCTTGGACCCCCACAAACCCACCTGAGCTGAATGGGCAAGATGACAGCAGCTGCCCATGAGTAGAAGGGTTTTGAGTTCATGGCCACCTTGGTTACTGCAGTCTTCGGGAAGGACACGCAGGAAGAAGGTCTCATGTGCTGGTGGACCCTGCATGGACACAGCCCCTGCTGCTTGCAGCCTTTCCCATTGCTGGACTATAAATAGTCTCTTCCCAAGGCCAGGCCTGGCTGGGTGGCAAAGGGAGGCTTCTCAGGAATCCACGTGGCTTTGATGAGCCTCTCTGGAGAAACTTACATGTGTGAAGCCCAGGCTGGGTCAGTCTCATTTCACTCTCCCAGTGAACTGGTGGGAGCAGCTGGATGGGTGCAGCTCAGCTCAGGAGGCTGACGAAAGACACTCCATCACTTCCTTCATTGCTTTTAATCAAGCCTTTGCCCTTGCCTGTTCCTCTGGTGCTTGGTACCTGGTTATCTGTTTGGAGCTGCTGAAAGCCCTGCCTCCTGAGGTGCTCAGGCCCCTGTAGAAATCCCACTCTCAGGAATGAGCTCCAGAGGTAAAACCAACTAATGGGATAGAGGGGAAAAGGAACAGTCATTCTCTTTTGAGACTGAAAACCAGCTACTGCAGCTTCTAGTTATTTGCCTGTAGTTGCAAACGCACTGGCTGCAGAAGCCCAACCCCCTGTTTAAGACCATCAGGAGCAGAAAGCCCATCACAGGTGGCTGCACTTCAATTCTTTATTCCAGCATCCAATGAACTCAAAAAGATTTTGAGTTTGAGAGCTGAAGGCGAAAGAGTTTGACCTTGTTGAGCCAGACAAGAGGTGTGAACCTTAAGACACCTGCTGTAGCACCGGGTGCTGAGCTCTTTAGCAAAGGGCCTTTTTTGATCTTTCCTATTGCAGTTTGTCATCCCTGTGGGAATAATTAAGCGCTCCCTGAGAAGGCTGACCCTGCAGCCTGGTAGCCACATGCAGTCTGGGTTAGGAGAGCCAAGAAAGTCCTCCAGTCCTGCCACTGATGTGAGGAATGGGGAGGGTTGCACCCATCCACAGCTCTTGGAAGAGCTCAAGAAGCAGAGCATCTTCCAGGTGAGCCCAGAGCAACCGCTCAGCTCTGATACTGTGTTAGTGAGAAGAATGATTTGACAGGAGCCAGTTAACGCAGTGAGTAATGAAAATGCCATCCTGGAGACAGGGACATGAGGCTGTGGGTGGGCTCAGCTGACACACGCAGGAGGTACCTTCAGCTGGAGCCAACTCCAAGCAGCTGGTGAAGACAATGCATAGCTGACTCAAAGCATGGATGGCTTTTAGGGAGCATCCATTGGGATCATGGCAGCAGTGACTGCGGCAGCTGCATCATGGTTGCCTCACATCAGGTCATGTCCATGCCACTGTCACCTGGGCTTACCAAGTATGAAGTTTCTCATGACTCAAATAGTCATTTGGGAGAATCACAGAATCACCTAGGTTGGAAAAGACCTTTAAGGTCATCAAATTCAACCTTTACCCCAGCACTGCCAAGCCCATCACTAAACCATGTCACTGAGGGCCTCATCCACACGGTTTGTGAACACCTCCAGGGACGGTGACTCCACCACTGCCCTGGGCAGCCTGTTCCAATGCCTGAGCACCCTCTTGGTGCAGAAATTGTTCCCAATATCCAGTCTAAACCTCCCCTGGGGCAGCTTGAGGCCATTACCTCTTGTCCTGTCACTTGTTACTTGGGGAAAGAGAACAACCCCACAACTCCTTTCAGGTAGTTGTAGAGAGTGATAAGGTCCCCCCCTGAGCCTTCTCTTCTCCAGACTAAACAACCCCAGGTCCCTCAGCTGTTCCTCATCACACTTGTGCTCCAGGCCCTTCACCAGCTTTGTTGCCCTTCTCTGAACCCCCTCCAGCACCTCACTGCCTTTTTTGTAGTGAGGGGCCCAGAACTGAACACAGGATTTGAGGTGCAGCCTCACCAGTGCCGAGTACTGGTAAGAAATAGTATTGCTGGAATAGGCATGCTGGAGAGTAGACATGCTTTTAATCTCATTTAATGGCAGGTAGCACACTGATAATTCTGCTCGTGCCTATGGGACTCGCTTGTGGACCCGTGTTTTGACCACTAATATTCAAGAATATCAGCACAGCACAGTGAGACAGCAGCACATGGGAAGACCAGCAGGGAATCGGTGTTCATCACTGCTGTGAGTTCAGGGCTTAAATTAATCCAAATGTGGGGGCTGGGGAATCAGACTTGAATGCCTACGAGCCTCCTCCTCCTCCCTTTGGCAGATGGCAATCCTGCTAACAGCGCTTGCTAAGGTCCCCTTGCACAACAAGCGGAGCAGAACTGGAGAGGTTTTGCTGCTTGTTACGTGCGGGATCCAAATGAGGTTGCCCCAAATACTAAATCACGATTGTAGCCTCGCATGAAGTTCTCCCAGTCCCACAGTGCTTTGAGTTACTGCAGAAGGGAGAATATGGGGCCCACAGCAGCGTGTCCACCCTGCTGCTTCAGTCTCTAGGGTGGCTTGGCTGCAGGCTGGATGATGACCTGCCAACGGCACCTAAGAACACCTCTACCCTTACTGTGCGCTCCCACCAGGTGGGAACCAGCCGTGTGCTTGAATGCACGGCACAGCTGCTGGTGTTGGCACAGGAGAGCATCTTCAGTCCCTAGGTCAGCAGCGTCTCTGTTGGCTCACTGTACCCTTCTCTAATGACACATGGATTTTGTGTCTGCTTTTGGGGCTAAAATTCCAGTTGTGTCCTAACAAGCTAGAAAGCCTTCAAATCAATGCAGGAAGCAAGTAAAAGAGTGCTTCATGAACTGCCTGGTTGCTGGACTGTCCACTAGATAGTTTATCCTGGCATAGCGTTTCCTAGTTCCATTTATGAGATCTGGTTTCCTCACTGTCCCCCATTCTATCTTGGAAACTGGAGCTACTCCAGAGAAGGCTGCAAACAAACCAGTGCACCTTGGCTTTCCTCACCCCTTCTGTTGCTTGTTGGTTGAAAACTCCAGTGCTCATTTACTTCTAGCACACTCATTTGTAATGATGCCCATAAAAATCAGTCTTTTGTAAAACCCACAAACCCCCGCATGCTCTGTACACTTTCCACTACTCCTAAGCAGAGCCTATTTACCCTGTCCAAAGGCACTCTGCAGATCAATAAAATACCTACTTTACTTAGATCTTCTGGCTTTCCACACTGACTGATAAGGTCCCTCTCAACTGAACACAAATTGTGAAGCAGTAAACTCAAATAAAACCAAAATTACTTTCCTGCTAAGCTAATCCTGCTGGGATCCTACCAAAGGCAGCCTTTTCCCTCTGAAACAGCACGGTCATTTTTGCCTGCAGCACTGAATTACAACACTACTGTATCAGAATTGCGTGGCATCGCCCTGCACGGTTTTAGACCACATGAGGAGCAACACAAAGGAGAAGCTGACCTACACTTTCTAGGTACCTTAGCTGCTCTAGGAGGACATGAATCCAACAAAGGAGCCCAGCACATGAAAAGCAAGAGTTCTCATCCTACGTGGTCGTGAATGCAAGTCTCCAGAGGACTTGAACAGCACGAAGAGGACAGCAATGTGTGCAGGCTTTGGCTATTGCTGGGGAGTACGTCACATACCATAGGCAAGACACGAAGGCTGACTTCCTGGGTTCCTCTCAGCATCCTCATGTATCTCCTGCAGCAATTATCAAGCTGGGTCCTGCTTGGAGAGCCTGAGGAGGTCTGAGTCAATGACAGTTAGTTACGAAAGCACGCACACATCCATGGAACATGGTCTGCTCTTCCAAAACTCTCAGCAGTCCATCTCCTGGGAACTGGCTGCTTCATGCCACAGGAAGCTGAGCACCAGCAGGAAGCTATTCCTGTGGAGAGATGCACACAAATAATCTAGAAAAAAGTGAATTGAGCAATAATAAAATGTGTGACTTGCGTGTAGGGGGCCGGAGTTGTTTTATGAACCTCTGAAGGCATCTGACCCTGCTCCAAACCTTTCATTGCTTCCAAGTGGAACAATAATGGACTGTTTGCTTCTTTCACAGACCTATTGTCTTATCTGTGTGTGCTGAAAGGATGCACACACCCAAAGGACCAGAGGGAATGTAAAAGTTGTGCTGTAAAACCTCACCTTCTGCTTCATTTACAGGTGTGCTAATGAAGGGTTTTCCACTCAGTTTTCTTTGCCTTTTTTCTTTTTTAAACTTAAAAGCTTTGAGAATCTAATGAAATAGTCCCACCCCATCTGCCTCCCTGCTCCCTCCCAAAAAGGATGCTGAACAGACAACCCTTGCAATGTGCATTTCAGAAATGGGGGAACAGAGACACAAATACCTCAAGCTGTCTTGCCCATAAGACACAGTAACCCAGTGGCAAAGCCAGCAATAAGAACCTTCATACCCACACCACCATGACTTGTGTTCGGTCAATAATGCAGAACATTGTGTGGTACAAATTAAAATAATGCTTTTATTGATATGTTTCAACATAAACCATGTGTAACATCATAAAAACCAAACAAAAGATAAACCTATTCCTTGATGGACTTATTAGACAGACATTTCGCTTTTTTTCTCAGTAATCACCTGGAGGAGATTGTCACTGACCTGGCTATCAAACAGCCTTCTCTTTAGGGCTTTTAGCTGTGTCCATTTGTTCCCGTGGAGTCTAAGGACTGTGATGAGCACCGCAGCTGTGGCTGTATTTCCTAAAGCCTGATCCCAAAAGGAGCATCATGCCAGACCCACCCCAACAGTGCACAAAGAGTTGTGTACTTCTGCAGCCTTGCAGACGAAGCCTTGACAGATCCCAGCAGAAGGGAGGGTATTAACCTGGTTCTGCTGGAATGCAAACACACAAACTTACAGGTTCCTTCAAAGTCACTGACGCTTGGAAAATCCACAAAGCTACCAAAAAAAAGTAAGATCAGAACTCAAAGGATTTCTAATAAAGATAAATCTAAAACAAGTTTATTCTATAAATATTTTTTTCCCTGTCAAAAGACAAAACATTGTAAAAACATACAAGAAATATCCCTTGGGAAAAAAACCCCCACCAAGCTATGGAAAATAACAAAGTATCATCTGCTTTGATTTAACCTGCAGAACTGTGCTGTGTTCAGTTCTGAAACCCACCACAGTTCCCTCAGTGCAATCACTCTAATTCCCTCTTGCTATGTAAATGCTATCGTTAATCACTCTTGTCTTCTCCTTGGTAGTGTCTGTATTCTGGCTTCAGCTCCCATGTGTTTTTGTGGGTCCCCTTCACATTGTAGATGCCTATTTCTCTTAAAATTTCTTTCAAGTATATCTGAAAGGAAACAAAAATCCGAATTAAACAGGCAGGCAGTCACCACGGCTAAAAAACTACACGACATCTCACCATCTGCTCCATCACATCAGCTCTGTTCATAATCATCAAATGTCACTGGGCAGCAAGGCTGGCTGATGGCATGAACTTGTGTGATAATGCCTGTGGGACTTCAACTCCCCTGGCAGCTACACACCTGCCGGGGTGCAGAGACACAGGTACTAGACTAGCTAAGTGGATGCTCCACAGGCTGCTGAAGTGAAGTGCCCAGCGCCTCTGGGAAAGCAATGCTGAGGTTATAGAATCACAGAATGGTTTGGGTCGGAAGGGACCTTAAGAATCATCGAGTTCCAACCACCCTGCCATGGGCAGAGACACCTTCCACTAGAGCAGGTTGCTCCAAGCCCCTGTGTCCAACGTGGCCTTGAACACTGCCAGGGATGGGGCAGCCACAGCTCCTCTGGGCACCCTGTGCCAGCGCCTCAGCACCCTCACAGGGAAGAATTTCTTCCTAATATCTAACGTAAATCTCCCCTGTTTCAGTTTAAAGCCATTCCCCCTCATACTGTCACTACATTCCCTCGTAAAAAGCCCCTCTCCAGATTTCCTGCAGCCCTCTTTAGGTACTGGAATGCTGCTCTAAGTTATCTCACACATCCTCCTTCTGCTGGAATTCCCCCAAGCTCTTGGCTTTCTGTCTTGCTTGGGGCAGAATTATCTTGAAACTCCCTGCCTTATTCAGACCCCATCAAAGCCCCGAGCTTTTGGTTTTCATGCTGTTGTGCAAAGCTTTAAGCATTTTACTACAGCTAGATAAAATTTAGAGGAGAGCTGAGCAGGTGCCAGAGAATTTTCTAATATGTTCAAATATTAAGGCTAGGGAGAGTAATTAAAATCCCCCAAGTAAAGCTATGACACCAGCAGTATAACCTCCAACAGAAGACAGCTCACTAATATCACCCTCCTTTACCCTTTACAATAAACACCCATAATTTGTTTCATTCTTTAAAGAGCCGTTTGCCTGCTTGTTTGTTTAAATATTAATGGGGACTGATGCAAGCAGATTGCCATGGCAACTGCAGACCACAGCTTAAGAATCCCCACATTACATTCATAATTGCTTCACTTTGAGCAATTTAATCCTCTTTTGAGTGCATACATTGACCTGGGGTTACTGGAACCCTTGTGTCCTTTGTCCCTACAGTTCCACTAAGCTCAAATAGCAACATACTTCAACTCATCAAAAAAAGCAAGTATTTGTTGATGATATAGGAAAGAAGAAAGGCTGATGGCCCAGTCTCTTCCTTACACTCTTCCCATTTCTTGCTAAGTGCGAAAAGTGGGAAATAAATAAAAGGTCTGTTCTCAGCCAGTATGAAGAAGTCTCTTTTAGAGAAACTGACCATTACTCGCTCTCAAGGAACACACTGAAAACTGACAAAGCAACAAAACCCCAGATCCCACTCTAATGACGATACTTTAGGGGGACTCATGGAGCAGAATTCTTCTTAAAAAAACCTATCAAAGCAACGAGGGGTCTTTGTCCAAGAAGTAAGAAAGTTGAGCGCATCAGACTGCGAATACAGAGTATTTTCTCAGGCTCTTTTCTCCGAGCAGCGCGGCTGCCCGCAGGAGCGGTCGGTTCATTTTGCACCGCGGGGATGGCTCATGGGTCTCCGAGGGCGCACAACGCAGGCCCCAGCAGGTGGCAGCAGGAGATCAATGTACCTCTGAGCGCGGCTTTCCTCGCCCCGTCTAGCGCAGAGGTGCTGCCGTTCATTACGAATGTCCTCGCTGCGACAGCAATTGGTGCGCGAATGTTTTTGTACGGTGACATTGCTGTTGTGCAACGCGTCTCCTGCAGGTGATGAAAGCAGGTGAAAAACAGTGCGGGCAGCAGGGCGAGGGACGGCGTCCTCACACTCTGCTCCACCCTGGAGAGGCCACATCTGGAGTAGGGTGTCCAGTGCCGGGCTCCTCAGTACAAGAAAGACAAGGAACTACTGGAAAGGGCCACGAGGATGATCAGGGGTCTGGAACATCTCTCTTACGAGGAAAGATTGAGGGAGCTGAGCCTCGTTAGTCCAGAGAAGAGAAGACTGAGAGGGGATCTCATTAATGCACACAAGGCAGGTGCGAGGAGGATGGTGCCAGACTCTTTTCAGTGGTGCCCAGCGGCAGGACAAGGAGCAATGACCATGAACTAAACCACAAGAAGTTTCACCTCAACATAGAATCATAGAATCATAGAATAGTCGGGGTTGGAAAGGACCTTACGATCATCTAGTTCCAATCTCCCTGCCATGAGCAGGGACACCACACGAGGAAGAACTTGTTTACATTGAGGGTGGCAGAGCGCTGGAACAGGCTGCCCAGGGGGGTTTGTGGAGCTTTCAGTAGTGTCACTGACAGACACTTCTAAAGTGGTGAGCGAGTGGAAGAAACATCCAGATTCAAGGTTAAATTCTCCTCCAGTCCACACAGACAGATTAATGAGAGCTGGGATAAGTGTAATTGTGCTTAGCCCTTTAGTACATTGATATGCAGTTCCTGGTCTAGAGACCTGGTCTGCATCTGGGAAACCAGGTCACAAGGTGTGACGATGCCACAGGGCTCAGACAGAATGAAACTGCTACGGCTGCACGGTCTATGGCTCCTGCTGTCCCGTGGCACTATCTCTGGGTGATGCTTTCACAAGGCAGCTCTCACCTCTCACTGGTTGCTCATGCCTCCACATCACCCACCCAGTTATAGGAAGCTTACTTTTAATTTCAACTAGTTCTCAGACCCAATTCCCCAGGCAGTTCTGCTTCTCTCTGGACAAAACTTTCATGAGTTTTGAGTTCACAGCCTAACAAAATGGAACAAAACCAACCTAAACTGAATAGTAAGGTAACATTTGTGCCACAAGTGAGGGCACTCCAAGCTGGGACCGTGAACTGCAGCAACTGAGCATCTACAATGTATTCCTTTTTGCCATCTCCGCTGCAGGGGGAAACAAGCAGCAGTGGGTTTAGGGAGGGCAGCAGAGCGTGTTAACTCAAAAAATCACGCTGTGTGCACACACAATGTGGAACTGTTGGAGCTTTTAGACAATTAAAACTCCGGGATAAACCTGCTGTGCAGTACTGAACTCGAGAGCAAGTGGCTTGGTGAGATGAGTTCAGAGGATGTTACGATTTTTCCTGTGGGATCTCTTGTCCTTCCATAAACCAGGACCCTCCACCTGCGTCTGTGCTGTGCCAGGTTGGCCTATACATCTTGAAGCATAATACTCGGTCTGATGCTATATCATCAAGAGAAATTCTCCACTTCCTCCTGTGATGCCAAATACTGCATTTTAGAGCCTGGTGAGTGCTAATCAGGGGCCCACAGTTCCTCTCTGAAAGGGATTCAGTATGTTTATATACACATAATTCTAACACAGAAGCTAATCTGTAGGCAATTTGTTCTACATTTAAGGCATCTTCTGCTTTGTTACACCTTCCCTTGTGATTTTTCACATAGAAAATGAAATGTTATTATAGAATTATGGGATAAAAATTTCTGAGAGAGAAGTTAACCTCCTAGCTCTGAAAATCCTTCTGGAACTTGGAGGGAAAATCCCCCACTGTATTTAGGATAACTATTACTTAAAGCTGAAACAAAAAACTGCAAACAATCTACCCCATTTTGAAAAATACAGTTCGTATCAGACCACTGGTTCCATACTGGTTCCATTCTTCACAAATATTTGATTGCTCACATAAGAAGCATGTTATGTTCTCAGCCATCAAGTCCAAATCTAGAATAACTGCGTATTTCCAGGGAGCACTCAGTATTTACATCTGGGTAGGTGGCAACAGATTTGACTACTACTGCGAGTTCTTCTTTTTCATTAGAAAAGAAAACAAAGCAACCCAGGTTTCCCAAATATAACAGGAGTTTGTGATTTCACAATCGCAAAATAAAGATGGCACCAATTTCCTATGTAACATGCAACATATTCTGCAGCATTTACTATTTATGTTTACCATTACGTAAGAAAAATACTCTTATTTATCTGTAACTTCAATAACAAAGATGTTAATTCCCTTAGGCAAATGTCTTTTAAACATTATCAGCCAGTGAGGTGAGCACCTACAACTTCATCTTAACAGGAGCTGAGGAGACAGCAGCAGCATTTTTTCCCTCACGTCTGAAAATAACTTCAACATTTAGAATCTTGGAGGAGAAATTACATACCCAGACAATCTCAGACAGCATGACAGAAAATAAAGCAGTGAGCACTCAGCACAGATTAATTAGCAGCCAACCTCTGTACAGTGTGGGGAACGCATGCCTGTTCACCTGCTGGCGTTTGGCTTTTTTTTGGTCAGCTATAGCTGCTCTGCAAACAATAAAATCACAGTGGGCATTAGGAATAGATACTTCGTTTTCAGATAAAATCCCCAAAGCTGCACACCAGAGGTTGAAGTCAGCAGCACCAGGGGTGCTCACACTCAGAGCAAACAGCAGCTGAGTGGCAGGAACAGAGGGACAGTATTTTTGCATGGGAATGGATGCTATCAGCAATAAAGTTTTTAAAGGGAACCCAGATAGGAAATCAGGATAGCTTTAAATGTGGGGTAGATGATGCTGAAAGATAGTTCGGAATTTATCACCATACTGGCTGAAGAAAGGCATCAGGAAGAGGATTTTGGTCATTTATTTTCTGAGGGGGTTTGAGGAAGCTGGATGGACACCAACACCTATGTCAAAACCCCGGCTGGCAATGAACACAAACCCCTTAACTCTCACACACAGCTCAAAACTGAGACTGCACAGCCCACTTGAGGGAAGGGGGCTTAATGGTCTGATTAATCTCAGGAGCCCTGAAGGACTTCTAGCCATCAACAGAGAGACTCAAATAAGAAACACAGATGGAAAAATAAAGCCCAAATCACATGTGACATTGGGTCAAATTAGCCTCTGATTTCCTTTTAATGTATCTGTATTATTAAAATGGTTAAAAAAAACCCCAAAAAGGCTAGATCTACTGAGATGAAAGTACTAGCACAGATCCACTATGCTACAGGCAGAATATATTCAGGAGCATATGATGACAGCAGAGATACGTAGATCGGCATAGAAATTCATCGTAAGTGTAATGGAAGTATTCATGTGAGGTATTTTGCTCTACGTATCTAATCTAATAGCTACCCTATATACCTAATCCTTGGGGCAGCAACAAAAATTTGATTAATCTTGCCCAACTTTTGGTGCTTAATGAAGAAATTTGTGTCAGAAGCACAGCTTTTTCAGGCTCCTCTGAGCTGATGCAGACACAGATACATTCGAGAGGTAAATCATATCACAGGAGGAAGAAAATGTTTGTTCTCCCGTGGCTTAAATGGGAGTTGTGGGTGACTATTTCGAGCTAAAGTCATGCTAGGTGGGATAACGGGATAAATCTGCACCTACTTACATTCAAAGTGATCGACACAGTGACTGTCACACCTATCTCTTACAAAAATAAAAAAGCTTTACATTTTCTTGCCACTTTCTCCATATCTTCCTCCTATTCCTTCCTCCTTCTCAGCTCCCATGATCCAAACACCTTCTGGCCACACAGATAAGAGTTGACTCATTAGATATATGAATGGAATAGAAGACACGAATACATTATCCAGCTAGTTTCTCCCAAGGTACTAGAACACCATGAACCTGCTGTGTTTGAATTGGGTAACATCTTTGTGCAGTTTCTTAACCAAACAGATTGTACACCTTATACAAATCCTCTGATACAGATCCACTGAATTCTAAATGGGAAGTGATAAAAGTAGTAGACATCTCCATTTTTCCCCTCTTTTACAGAGGAATATTTTTTTCCCATAATTCAGCTGTCACTGTTCCTTCTTCTGCCTTAGCCCTAAGAACTTTTGAAATTGTTGCTCCATTTAGACTCAAGCATAATTAAGTCCCTTTAAGACTTCTGAAAACTGCAGCTGGGTTCAGGATAGTCATCAAAGTCAGCAGTGAAAAACATCAAAACCACCAAAATTCATGTGTCACTGTCTCCCCCAGCTCCTGCCTGGTCTGCTCAATGAAAGCTTGAACAGGCAAAAGAGGGAAAGAACTGGAAAGTTAGGGTTCATAGATGAAGTGGCTGTCAGACATGGCAGGATAACAAAACCATCATGTAAACAAATGTCTTCATGCTCTTCCTGTTTGTGGAAACAAACACCAGAAATGTTTTTCAAAAAATCAAAATAAATCCCGAGTATTAACCGCATAACTTAGTCTAAAATTATTCTATTTGTAAAGAAAATCAAGTGACTTTGGGGGTGTTGGCCTGAGCTCCTAACATGGACAGTGAGTGTATTTAATACTAGTTGCATGAAACACAGTTTTCTAGACCCACAGAGAAAGAGTAGCCCCTGTTGCTATGCCAAGATAAAGTTCAGAAGCTGAAGGAAGGGCTGACCACTCACACCCTCTACTGCCAACAGCAACAGAACTAGGCTGTTACTTCAGTGAGGATAGGAGTAACATGGGAGACATCCAGAGCATTACAGAAATTGGTTTCTAGTATTAAAACAAACCTAAATAAGAAAGAGACCATTTAGGTTGCTTAAACCACCTCCGTCAAGAAAAAGCATATTCACTTCAACTCCTACAGAGTCCTACAATGGTGAACTTAAAACTCGATGATTTCTGTTTGTTGTAAAACATATTTAGAGAGCTGTTTCAAAGGCATACATAGTAAATGATTTTCTGGATATGGAAAATATACACAATAGGAACTACTGAAAATGGTTGTATTGCAAGACCACTAGTACATACCACTGGCTGTTTGGTTATGTCCACCAGGTCTTTAATGTTGTAATACTGATGCTTCTCAAAGGCTGAAAAAAGCATGTCCAACACTTGTTGTTTATCGGCTCGAGCCCGTTTTCCATCTTCTTTTTTCTTCTTCTCATATTCAATCTATCAAATGCCAAACACATTTTAAAGACATTCATATGTAACACTGTATAATTCTCAGTGCTGAACATTAAGGCATAAAAAATCTATTTCATAAAACACTGTTCAATGACTCAGTGCTTTTCATCTGGGAAATTTTCTCTTGAGCATTCAAATGTTCTTTTCTGAACATAAACTAAGTATTTTGTCCTCAGCAAATTAAGCTTTTCAGATAGGTATCTCTGCTTTAACCAGTAAAAAACCTCAGGAACAGAGCCTGCACTATGTGCCCAAACCCAGAGAGATAATTAATATTAGTACAGGAATCCATACTGAGATGGTATTTTCTCCACCTCTGTTGATATCAGCTTTTGCAGAATAACGACGAATTTCAAACCTACAAATTGCCATTCTCCAGAAAACCTACAGACCAGCATGGCTACATCTACTATCGTAACAACCACCTGCACAAAGGATGCTCAAATGGACCCTGGACACTGCCTCATCTGCTCCAGAAACAGCACTCAAGGCAACCGCTCCACCAATATAAAACCGATCTTCACCAAGGAAGACACGCTTTGAGGATGCAGATGGTATCCCTTCAAGAGAAAGCCGAGTAGCACATGCAAAGTTACAGTACTCCAAGAAAACCTCTTCCAAGCGAGTAGAGGCCCCTTGTTATCACACATCATCTTATTTCAGAATAAGTATTAAAAAGTACTTAACTATCATAATTTGCACAAGACTGCCTCCAAAAATACTTCCAGTATTTCCTCAGATTAATCATCAGAAGCAATATTTGCACAGGCCAGCACATCCCAAACAAACCCCAATCACCAACATCTGCCAGCACATCACCCCATCCACCCCCTGTGCCACCCTCAGTCCCAGAAAACCATCAAGCTCCTTGGAACCAACAGAGGTGACCCAGAAGGTAATATAATTCATGTAACCATCAAGTGCTCTCAGGCACACTGTGTGGGTGAATCTGAAGAGGCACAATGTACAGGAGAAGAGATGCTCGTGATCAATAAGGGACACAAGCCTGGCTGTGAGATAATTTTGTATGGGAGTTGTTCTGCCTCTCATGTCTTAAACCTGATCCTCAGAAAGAAGTCCTTCAGAGAAACAGCCTAGAAATGAAAATCACAGTTCTACTGGATACTAAAAATCTTATTTTTAATAAGAGACATTAGCTTTTTGGCACAACTTATTTTTTCCTATGTTTCCTTGCCAGCTAACTCCCTCCTCCTCTCTTGGTGAAAATAGCCTGTATCTTGGAATCTGTCCCAAAGTGGCTAAAGACTATTACCACCTTTGCCATTGCTCACGGCTCTCCGGCCAGCCAACTTTCTCTTTCAAATCCTGATAAACATGTACATCATTAAATTGAATGCAGAGCAACTATTCCCAACCTTTAGCTTGAAGTCCACCACTTCTGCTTAAAACCTAAGATGGGCTTGGGCAACCAAACACTTGTCTTGCTTTTCCAGCTGTATGTTATTGTCATAAAAAATACAACCTCTCCACGCAAACCCAGACTCTCAGGACAATCTCTGAGAAGAACAACAAAAAACCCATGGTACTGTTTGTACCTCTTCAAATGACATATAGTGAAAATGTGCTTAGCTAGCAACTAACTACTAGTACAACTCTCTCCATGAGGAGAAAAAAATCACTTTAAAAATGATGCTTCCCACACAAAGGAACAAAGTAACAATAAGGAAATTCTCAACATTCTCTCCCTGGTGTTAGGTCTGTGACAGGACTATTTCACGACTGGCTATAAAATCCTAATTACACGAATAACAGTCTCCTGGAAAATAACATATAGTGGC